CACGAGCAGGGACACACAAGTGGACAGGTGGTGACGCTGCTAGTGGTGAGTGACGTGAGGGAGATGAGATGGGTGATGGAGGGAGACCAGCTTCGGCTCCAGGGTTCACTGTCTGGGAGGCAACGTCTGGCCGCACCCATAAACGGCGTTCTTAGAAGGCAGGCATTTGCAATATCGGGAGAGACGCGTTTGGGACACTTGATGGGTCCACAGCCAAGCAGTGTCTCCTGCGGATCCAAAGCATAGTAGGTGCAATGGAGGGGCAAGCTGGGGTCTGCCGGACAAGGCTGCTCCGTGTGCTACCACGTTGGCCACGGCCACGCTCCAGAGGAGAATGGCCACTGCCTCACGTCTGTCAGACCCAGCCACAGAGGGAAAGGTTCTGGGAAAGGGTCTCCTGCTTAGAACAACCTGGCAGGATCCTCCTCTTGACACGTACACACTCCTTTTTTAACTTTCCAACAAAGCAAGCCACAGACTCATGCTTCTACTTGATACGATGCAAGTATTCCAACCAGAAGGACTGAACAAAAGGTTCGTGCCGTTTTATCCAAATGCGAGAAGATCCTGGTTCCTCCGCTCAGGTTCTCTAAGAGCATTTAACACTGGACACTGCAAGGAGCGTGTCTGGGGGTTGGATGGCACAAACACTGAGAGGAAATGTCAAGTTAACTATTGTGAACACGTTCTGTGTGTGATAGCAGGGACAGGGAGAGGAAGAACGCAGGGAGAAGGACTGGCTAATGTCAGCACAAAGTAACTTGTGCGGGGACCAGAAGTCCTACTAACCCCTCACGACCCATGGCGTGTTTCAGAGAGACGAGGGCGAGTGGGGGGAGCTGCCTGTTCAGGACCAGCCTCCTCCTCTGGCTTCACAGGGTCCCCAGGACCTGCTTGAGCTGACCACGCATAGACCACTATTGTTGATGGCATCTGCTGTGGCTGGGTGGGTCTGACAGCACCCAGGGCACGATGGCAGCCCAGGCGTTAGAACGTGGCCCGTGGGGCTGGGCATGGTGACTCATGCCTGTGATCTCAACACTTTGGGAGGTGGAGGTGGGAGGATCGCTTGAGCCCATGAGTTTGAGACCAGCCTTGGCGACGTAGGGAGACCCATCTCTACAAAAAGTATAAAAATTTGCCAGGTGTGGTACATACCTGTAGTCTCAGCTACTTGGGAGGCTGGGGCAGCAAGACTGCTGAGGCCTGGGAGGTCGAGGCTGCAGACCCCTGATTATACCACTGCACGACAGACTG